TGGTGTAACATTGCATATTCAAAGATAGCAACCCCTAATTATTAATATTAGTGATGGAAAAATCAGGAAAAAAATAATATGAAATAACACTGATCAAGTGCATATTTTAGTCAAAATCAGCTAGTAAGGCGTCATATGACACACGTCTGTGCTGAGACAGCGCTTCCTGTGACGACACAACGGTTACCGGCCTCTTGTGGCTTGGTACACCACATGGAGGTAAAATGGTACGCCATGACACTTGAGGCGGGAACAGGCCAATATCTCTATAGTGTTATGAATAGGAGGGCCGAGGGAATAATGTCACCATGCAACTCTATAGTATTTTGAGTTTCGGGTATTCATGATTTGTAGCCCTGTTACTCGTGGGCAATTATACTGATAACAAACACTGTTAGCTTTACCCCATCGCCCATCATTAATTCGCCTACTTCCGGTTTCTACGTTTAGAATCAGACATTACAAAAATACAAAAGGTCAAAGACCTTCAAAGAACTGATTCCAATAACAGGCGCAAAACGTAACAAACATTTCCAATTTGGTCATATATATGTACCATACAAACCATATATTCCAAAATGTGTCTATGCAAATCATATTTCAAAATATTTTAGCTACAATTTTAAAAGAGAACTCACCAGTGCGATCGCTTTTTTGATCGATTTTGGGGACGCAAACGACTGACGCTGAGGGCGTTGACTTCCGGGTCATTTGCTTGGCGTTCTCATCCAAGACTGTACTGGGCCGTTACTAGTAACGTGTTTTTGAATTTTTAGGTGATGTACTCATGCGAAACAATATTTAATCTCGCGAACGATACATTTTTTTGTCAGACTCGAGTATCACCATTCATAGAAAGGATTTAAAGAAAGGTCGGCGTTGAGGGCGCTGGTTTCCAGGACAGGCAGTTTGGATTTGTTTTCGATCGCCGTGGTTACTGAATACTTGCCACGAACGGAGATAACCTAAACGATAATTGTATTACTTTCTAGTACGTGATATTCGTCGACTATCAGTTCAAATTGAGCTCAATAATTCATCATATACAAACCGCCATTGTCAACGTAAAATTTACAGGGAACAGACAAAGCTAAATAATATGAATTGCAGTGAATTCCTCCCCAATATAAATCAGCTTGCTAATTTATTGAAACAAGATGAAGGAGATAGTTCTGACGATGACCAGGTAAGGCATTTATTTTTTAATACAAAGAGTGGTGATCGGAGTTCATGATGTGGGTGCTTCCAGGAAGTGTCACTTCAAGCTCGTGTTGGAAATAAAATAGAAATAAATCAGTAGTCTCAGCGTAACAAAGGTATTTCCTTCATTTTTATAAATATTTATAAATTAGACACTCAAAACTGAAACAAGAGGAATCTATTGATCGATTTAAATAAATGGTGTTGTTTTCAAATGATGATGTTTTGCATTTGTAGTTATCGTTTGATTCAACTGCCATCAAAATATGCATAATAATGATGGGAAAACCTTTGTATTATTCATTACATGTATTTATTTTCAAATAGTCCTGATCGATTTCAAAGCAATTGACTAACTTTTATTCGCCATTAATTCACAAGAATTTTACCAAATTGTAGCTAATTAGAATTAATTAAGGATAAATCAAGATAAATGGTCATTACTAGTTTGTTTTGGTTCATCTGTTTGGTCTACAACATTGAGCATCAATTTTCTGCGCATCCACCAGTTTTACCATAGCAGGATCTGGTGTTTGAGTGGGCAGCCAGCAGCCAAATGTAAACATCATCCACTCTTACAATGCTGCTATAATGCATCAACCTGATTTAAATCTAATGTACCTAGTTATAGACTTTCTCGCCCAAATATTTCCGTACTTTTTTTCTTATATTCTTCAATATTTCTGGAAATGAACCCTAATTTTGGAGCCAACAGACACAATTGAGTTAATTTTTGGTTTTTAATGAAAAAATTTGGCTTTTTTTTTGTCCCAATCTTCTGAAGGAAATTGCAGACTGTAATTGGGACTATTTTGTGAATTTGTGATGACAAATAAATAGTGATGGTGATTAAAAGGTTAAACACATTACATAAATAATTCCAGATTTTGTATTAGAGACAATTCACCATGTATTGTATGTAGCATAATAGTACATGTCACTGTCAAATCTATAGCATGTAGTTTTAATGAGAATATCATGTTTTCATTTGATTCAGAAAAAATATAGAATAGTGGCATGTTTATAATAGTGGTGCCACTGAAAACAAA